TAATAATATTAATCAATTATTATTACACAATACACATCACATCAAATTGATTATCTGTTCATTGATTCATATATTTTAGTTAACCATTACTTCACGTCACCTTTCATAATTTTATATCTATTTTATTGTAATTATTTTAATACAAATTCCAAATCCCACTAACAACGAATCTTACTATGTTTTTCTTTTTCAAATGAACCATAGTTAACTAAAAAACTAATCATACTATTTTATTTTTTCAAATGAACTATGGTTAACTAAAAAGATTCATTTTGAGATAAAATTTTCGTATCCAAGCATCCACTAAACATTTTATAGCCAACAAGTGGAATCACATTTCAAATTTGTCATTATATTTTTTATTTCTGTTCATATATGTTAGAATATCACTTGTGAGTTGTTCCACGTCGTTTTTATAGTGAAAACAGACCTAACTTATAAGTCTACTTAGTTACTCCTCCTTCCACCAATTGGTTTTGGATGGAACCTTGCTTAGATTTTATCTGGCTTTTTCCCACGTTTCTTACATGGTATCAGAGTCAGTTATATCGAGATCTATCGGGGACCGTGATCCGGTTCTATCTGGATCTATCTGGCATCATGCGATGACGTACCCGTCACCCAGCCAATTTGGCTTGGGCTACTCAGAGCATCTCCAATACTCTAATATTGTTTAGAATAAATTTTGACAAATGTCACTAAATTAATTGGATTGTGAACCATGTAGGTAAAATGTTAAGTTTACAACTGCAAATTAAAAAGTTATATTCAATTCACAATGTAGTCTAACTATAATATTATCTACTTACCAAATATTAGTATTTTATAATATGTAGTAAAAATATTGATTAAATAATTAAACAGTTTGAGATTAGTAAGAATAAATCTCTCTTTTCTTTTCATTGACTAGCTAGAATGTAGATGAACCACATTGTTCTTTATATTGTCGACATTAATTATGTCCACTGTCATCATAATATTTGTAATCACAATTTACATTGGAGGATGAAATGTTGTGTCATTGTTAAATATGTTGACGTAGAATGTAATTTACCACAACAACATTTGAGCATCGGAGATGCTCTCACAAGTGAGAGAACGTGTTAGAATATCACTTGTGAGTTGTTCCACATCGTTTATGCAGGAAAAATAAGTCAAACTTATAAGTTTAATGGACTACTCCTCCTTCCTCCAATTAATTATAGGATGGAACCTGACTTGAGCTTTATTTGGATCTTTCCCCCCGTTTCTTACCATATCTACCATTTATGGCAAATTTAATCAGCAACATCAAATAGTGACAACTCGGAACATACACAATGTACACTTTGCAATCTTTCAACACATTAGTGATTAGTGACATCAAATATACTGAAATTGAAGATCACCATCCAATAACAAAATTTGTCCACAAGTGGGAAAAAATTATAAAATAAAAAAAAAAAAAAAAATCATTTTTGATTTTTCACCTCAATTTTTCACCTCAAAAAGTCCAAAAATTGCTAGACAAAATGCGCAAATTTACATATATGCCCCTTTTATTGAGAAAATATCATTAGGCAATAAATATTAAAAAGGGCCTAACAAATAATAGCCGTCCATTGGAAATCACTCGAGTCTCTTTCATATTTTGGGCCCAGATAAAGACGCTTAATGCAATACGAACCCTTGAGAAAGTACACATGAAATGGACATTTTTGTTGGGCCCACTTTTGTCTATGTGTAAACCATCGTTGACATGACTAGGCCTGCGAACGTTCCCATTTTTATGTATGACTCAGATATTGTATGAATCATAATTGGTATATGCTAAACGACTCACCTATTGTATGACTTCATAATAATAATAATAATAATAATAAATAATAATATATTATTATTATTTATTATTATTATTATTTATTATTATTATTATTATTATTAAGAATTCATTTAGGAGTTGTATTTGTTTGAAATTTTTAAATATTTTTGAGATTTTAGAAGTTTTGATATATTTAGCTATATCTTTTACAACATTTTAAAAGTCGTATTAAATCCTGATATATTTAACTTGTTTGAATTTGTATGATTTTGCTGAGAGTTCAGAAGAAAAACAATCATACACAAAAGTTCAATCCTCATACATTCACAAATTTCACATGACTCATCATAAGATCTTAAAAAGTCCCAAATATATAAAAAAAAAAATAATCAAAATTTCATGATAAAAATCAAAGACATCGCGATATTGATACTATAATCACTTATTTAAAGTGTTGAGATGGACAAACAAAATCAATTGTATTCCAGTTAAGATGTAAAAATATCTTATTTGAGAAACCTACAACGACAAAAAAACTATTTATACTTCAATTTTGATACATAACCAACTAAAGTCTATAATGTATACATGCATACATTATGTATATATGGGTTCACCGGTTAATTCATAAAAAAAAAAAAAAGCAAAATAGGGATTTTGAATAAACATTAAGAACCGAACTATTAAAACATACAGAAATGATATTCAATAAGTTGTGTTGATGGCTCCATAGCGAAGCCTTTGAAATATAACTAAAATTTTAGTAATTAAAGCGATTATTATGGCTCGGGTGTTTGTTGATTCTCCAATTCTCGATGTGTAAACCTCACCCCTAGAATATGAGGAATCAAACTCTTCTAGCACCTCCAACTCTAAGGACACTTTGAATTGCTTAGGGTGTGTTTGATTATAAATTTTCTCAATTCTTACTCAATTTATACTCAAAATTTAATTTAACTTTAACCCAACCTTATTATACTCAATATTATCAATATAATTAAATAATATAAATGATTATTCTCACACATCACATCAATTCTAATTTACTATCCACTCACTCACATAATTTTAACTAACCATCACTTTACACCATGACTTTTATTCTTTTACATCAAATCAACTTTAATTAATTTATTTTAAATATTATTGTAACATAAAATCAAAATTTCACTAACAACTAATTATATTACTTTATTCAAAATTAACTCTGATTAAAAAAAAAAAAAAATCATTTTGGACGAATATATTTGTGTCAAAAACGCCCTAATCAACATGGGTTTTTTGCTTAATTGAGATTTGAATTTCTTTGTAAGACATATCGTGGACAAATGTTCTATAGAAAACTAAACATCGTTATAAAGATAATGCTAATGACTTACCCACGGTGGGCACATGTTAATATGTCAACCGCTTATGAGGCATGCACACATTGGTGATGTTAATATGTTCAAAAAAGAGGAAATTCTATTAGAAGGCCTAACTTTTAGTAATTGTATTAATCTAAGGCCTGAATTTTTTACTTATTCAATAGAAGGCTTACATTTTAAGTTATTCTCACTTTAAAGCTTACATTTTAGTTAACTTTTCATTATAAGGCCCAACTAACTTTACATTTTCATATAAATATGTAAAACAACTATTATGTGAATAAATTATTATTATTATTATTATTATTATTATTATTTTGTAATTTATATTTTGCATACTTATAATAAAAAATAATAAATATCTTTAGTAAAATTTATTAATAAAAATTAATTTTAACTTTTTTTTTAAGCAAAAGTTGATACTATGTCATTGCTTGTTGAAAATGATATATTTTTGTAGATTGCATTTATGTATTATTTTATAGTTTTATTAATTATTTATATTATTTATATAAATACTATTTCCATTACATATTTTTTGAATTCACTAAAAAATATAATAATAATAATAATAATAATAATAATAATAATAATAATAAATAAATAAATAAATAAAAAATAATAATAATAATAATACTTTATTCACATAATAGTTGTTTTACATATTTATATGAAAAGGTAAAGTTAGTTGGGCCTTATAATAAAAAGTTAACCAAAAATGTAAGCCTTGAAGTGAGAATAAACTAAAATGTAAGTCTTCTATTATAAAAATAAAAAATTCAGGCCTTAGATTAATACAATTATTAAAAGTCACGTCTTCTAGTAGAATTTCCCCGTTCAAAAAAATACATATCCAATGGGTGCATGCCACATAAACGGTGGACATATTAACATGTGCCCACCGTGGGTAGGTGAGCATTACTGATTGTTATAAAGGTGCAAATATTTGAATCTACATAATAGTTTCATATGTTTTGAAAAAAACAAACATTATAAATATTATTTTAGTCGTATCTATAAATACGTAAAATATAATTTAATCAAATCAAACGGTCCAGGTACGAAACTATTTTGTCGGGATTTGTAATTGTTAGATCAACTATCTACGACGATTACATGATGATCTAACAGTTACAAATCACGACGGAATAATTTCGTAACGGGACTGCAGCATTTTCCCAAATTAGGAAAATAAGTTAAGAACAATAGAAGAATCATGTATGCTCAAGCTACACTCTCATAGCAAAAATCAAAATTACAATTTACCCCTCTGAATCCTCTTCCCCTTGGTTAACGCACCTCCCATTTGACCCAAAACCATTAGAAAGGCTGCAAGATTTTTTCCCGTGAAAAAGAATAGCTCACAAGGCAATAAAAGCTCACCACACTCTCACCACCTCAAATTCATAGCTCTCTCATGCATTTTCCAGATCAGTAATCCCTTCCTCTTCTGACCTATAAAATCACTGCTTGCCTTTCAAATAATTTCTTACTCTTTCCTATTTCAAGATTCTTGATCTTTTACCTCTCCATTTTCGATTTCTAAATTGGTAAGATTTTTCCTCTAACTTTGGAGACGCTCATCGTCATCGGTCTTGTATTCTGAAAGTGAGTGTGTGCCCAAGATCCCATTTTTCAGCTTCCTAGGTACATTTTATTGTTTATACTGCAATTATATTTTCTGGGTTTTTGTTTTTTAATAAAAAATTTACTGCCATCTTTGTTGTGATCTGTACTTAGTTTCTTTTAGACTGCATTTCTTGTTTCTCACACTTAAAAATTACTGGGCTTACTTGAGTCCAATCCCTTTGTTGCAGTGAGAGTAAAGGGCAATGGATGCTTGCTGTGCTGGGCTGAAACCCATCAGCAAGAATGGGTTTTGCAACGCAGAAAATGGATTTCTGGGTGAGAAAGTCCGAGGTAGTCTGAATAATTGTTCTTTGGGTAATTATCAATTGGGGAAAAATTTGAGCTTTGAGAAGAAGGAGAGAAAAATCAAACCTGGGTTTGCTAAATCTGTTCTCACTAGAGAACCCAACAAAGAAACTCGGGTTAGTGTTATTTCTTCTTCTTCTTCTTCTTCTTCATGATAATGTTTAACTTTGTTTTTGTGCTAGAAATTTTCACTTTTGGTGGAGGAAGACATGAACAATTATACTATTTGGCATTTTGCATTCTAATTTTGTTATGGAGATGAATATGATAATTTTCTTGGACTGATTTTCAGACAGTACAATCACCGAAATCGGAGAGACGAAGGGCGAACCCGAAAAATGTGGCTGCAATAATATTAGGTGGGGGCTCAGGCGCACAACTTTTCCCCCTCACAAGCAGAGCAGCTACCCCAGCTGTAAGAACTATGCCAAAAGAAGTCATTTGATCATAAATGTATTTGCTTGTTAATAGTATCTTTGTTGTGCCATCTATCGTAGTTCTCTAAAATATCTGCCCTGTTGTTTAGTCCATTCATGAAAAGATCCAACAATCTTCCAGAAATTGTGTTCTTGAAACAAAAATCTGTCTTGAAGTATGTGATCTTGAAAAATATGTGGCGTCTTTTAGATGAAAAAGAAGTAAATTGATCATTGAGGGTGTTTTTTTTGTAATAATGTGTTTGTTGGATCATGTGTGTGATTCTGTGTTATAAGATAATGGGCTGCAGTTGATTTGATCAGTGTATGATGATGCTATGAAGCTGCTCGGTTTGATAAAGTTTGAATAGAAAATTGGCAGTTTTTCGAAAGTTGATGAGTGATGATACGTGTAATTCGCTTTCGGGAAAACGATTGATAGACAAAGTTTTTTTTTTTTTTTTTTTTTTTTTT